GACGGACAGGACAGCCGCCCCGACTGACGGACAGGACGGCCGCCCCGACTGACGGACAGGACGGCCGCCCCGACTGACAGACAGGACAGCAATGCAGACCAGAGGAGCCGCCCCGACTGACGGACAGGACGGCCGCCCCGACTGACGGACAGGACAGCAACGCAGACCAGAGGAGCTGCCCCGACTGACAGGAAAGCGAAGTAATGACTGAAAGCCATGCTTAATCCTGGATTGGACCTGGGACCAGAAACTTCTTTTCTTTTACTAAAAGGACAAAGGTAGACTCTGAATAAAGTTTTCAGACCAGGAATAATGTTGTTGTTGTTGTCATGTGCCGTCAAGTCAGATCTGACTCATAGTGACCACTCCTTGGGTTTCTACAGACGTAGATTGCCCAACCTTTCTTCCAAGGAGTGGCTGGTGGGTTTGACCCGCCAGCCTTTTGGTTAGCAGTCAAGTGCTTTAGGCACTACACTACCACAGCTCCCTTTAATAGTATAATAATATTAGTTTCCTATATCTGGTAGTGATTAAGTAAATCTTTGTTTTCAGGAAATACACTGTATTTTCCACATACAATGTAAATAATGGGCCCACACACATAACATGCATGGGAATCAAACCTGTGTGTGTCTGTGTCTGTGTGTGGGGAGGCTGTGCAGTTTGCCAAATAAAAGCAATCTGTATAAAAGTGTAACACGTGTGCTATGTTGTATAAAAACACGGTACACTAAACCATCCGGAGCATTCAGGAATAAAGGAACATCAGGTCTGCGACTTGCTCCCACGTGGTTTAGGGAAAACACACAAACACACGAGAATGATCAAGTCAACGTGGGAGCGTGTCAGACTGGGGACTGTGGGTGAAGGGTGCAGTGGAATTCTGTATCATGCTTTCAGCCTTTCTCTAAGTCTGGAATTATTTCAAAATACAACATTAACAACACGTAGACGCTGTAGCCCAGTGGCCTTGTCCAAACGTTGAATCCACGCTCCTTCCTGGCTGTGTCTGCTTCCTTGCAGCAGAACGAGGGCTGACAAAAGTATCTCCACCCAGGGTTGTGTGAGAAGTGGATGCGAAGACAGAGACAGATGATTACAACAGCTCGTGGCACACAGTGAGGGCTCGACAGCTGGTTATAACGATTGGAGCTTACCTTTCCTGGCCAACAACAGGAAAAGGTCAACAGGGGACCAGTTAAAGAAATGCTGATATATTCCTATCTATCTATCTACCTACCAATATATACGTTAATATATTCCTAAGATAGAACAGGCGATCTCTGGGTTACCCACAAGATCATCAATAAGATGGTTCTCCTGGTTTGATCTTTGGACACTGTCTCCAAATGTGTGTAACATGTAATCTCCTTACACAGAAGAGGACATCGCTACAGTTTCACCCAGTCGTTTAGAACTGGTCAGACAGCATACACTCACAAAGGCCCTGACTCCTGGCCACACACTGTTTAAAACTTTCTACTGTTTACACAGGAAACAAAAACAGAGTGCCCTCACATGGCAGTTCCAGGCCCGGGTGCACTGTGGCGTTCCTGACCATTGGTGGAGAGTGCCGCCCGTCATCCATGTCCAGCTCGGTACACTGGGCTTCCCCGTGGATAACGGCCAACCCCAGACGCAGCCTCTCAGCATATGACTGGGCCCTAGGAGAAAGACAAAGGGAAATGGTGACATTTGTGGGGGAACTCAAACTCAAGCTCCCACCATTTCACTGCTTTAGTACCATAGAACAAAAATACCATTCAACCTTTTAGGGACCACAAAGGACTGACTTACACTAATCAGGATGGAGGAACAGGGGCTGGGACCTAGACTAGCACTGGTTCTAAGGTGACTTCCATCCTTTGCCCAGTATCTCTCATCATCAGGAGAAAGGATTTCGTTCAAAAAGGGGTCTTTTTTTATTATTTTTATTGTGATTTAGGTGGAAGTCTACAGAGCAAATTCACTTTCCATACAGCAGCTCACATACACTGTCTCATGACATTGACTACAATTTCCCACAATGCAACAGCTCCCTTCCCCCTTCCTCCTCATAGTTACCTCTTCCCTGTGTCCTTCCCTCCATGCACTCCTGCCCCCTGAGCTGTCTCCCTGTGCACACACAGCCCTTCTGTTCTCCATGGTTGCTCTCTCCAAGAAGTGTATCTACCTAATTTAAGTGTTCAGCTCATAGGCTTATCTTTTGTTTGGCTGGAAGCCACAGGAGTGGGTTCAATTCCAGACCTGACAGGCAGCTAGGGGCCTAAGTCTCAGGGGTTCCACCAGGCTCTGTCAGAACAGCAAACGTAGTCCCTCAAAAAGGGGTCTTAAAACAAAGGCCTGAGACTATTACGACCCACATATGTGAACTAGGATAGGCAGATGCACTGAGACGGTTTACTCGTGGTTCCGAGGGTGGGGTGTGGGGAGAGGAAGGGACAGTTACTGCTTAAGGGGCACAGAATTCTGTTAAGGGGTGATGAAAACATCGGAACAGAATGCAGTGAATATGGAGAATTCCATTTTCTCCTGAAGGAAATGTGGGGTGACTCCAGAAGGCCCCGCCCCGTCGGTTTAGGGACCGGAGATAAGGCTGCCGGGAGGATAGTGGGGAGGCCCGAGCCAGGGAGCACCCGCAGCTCTGGCCCCCCGCAGCCCGTCTGGCGTCAGCAGCCCCATCACCCACCTTTTAGCGGCATCAGGAGACTTAGCTACGATGACTGCATTTCTGTAATTTGGAATCTAGAGGTAGAGGGAAAATAAAGAAACACTGAGAAAGTTATCAAAACTAGCATCAGGATGCTAGCACTACATTTTTCCCTCCTACAACAATGGTCCAAACCAGCCACCGGATGGATACACTACAACGTCACCCACACGGCTTTACATTTCCCACATTGGCCAATAAATAAACACATTGTAAAATGCACCACTGAATTGAGATTTAAAAAATCATCTTAAAACCTTCATTTTAGTAAACATTAAGCAAATGGATAACTATACTTTTTCTGTTTTTCAAAAAAACACATACTCCTCCCTGACCCCCTGCTGGCCCTGTGTGGACCACAGGGAAAGGGTACTGGGTGGGCTGTCCCAGACTGAAGTCTGATACCAGGAGAACTAGACAGGCCCCCCGGGGGGGCAGCGGGCGGTTTGCTGGGGTCTCCTCACTTCTTCCTGGATATACTGGAGCAGGAAAGGGGAGGCGCGGAGGTTGTCCACAGGGAAGCTGAAAAAGCCTTGTATCTCCTTTTGATGGAGGTCCATAGTGATAATGTGAGTTAAACCTGAAATTTTAAAACAAGACAATGACAAAGGTCACCCTACAAGTTCAAGGCCACAGTGCACACAAACTAGAGGCCTAACTTGTTTCCTAACGGAAGGACAAAGGCAAGTGACCCTGTGCGTAAGCACACCGACTACCGCTTCTATTTTGTCCCGGACAGAGCTTACTGGCCTGAAGAAAAGAGGATGCTGATGAGCCCAAAGGAGAGGCCTGTAACCTTCTGTGCGTACAAGGAGATCACGCCAGGAAGAGCGTGTCTGTCTATTATTACTAGTCTGGTCCCGAAAGTGGAGAAAAGAGTAAGTGGGTAAAAGTGAAAATCCGCATATGGGATTAATGGACGCCAAAGCACTAACCGATGCAGAAACAGCAGGGCCCTGATTCAAGAGGAGGAATGATGAGGGGCCGTGGATAAGGGGGGAGAGCTGAGGAAGCAAAAGCACAGTAACTTACACGTTAGAAAGAAAGAAACTCATCGAACACAGGTGTGCGTCAGAACAAGTTCCGTATGGGACAGAAGACGGGTAAGAAACTCATCGAACACAGGTGTGCGTCAGAACAAGTTCCCTACGGGACAGAAGACGGGTAAGAAACTCATCGAACACAGGTGTGCGTCAGAACAAGTTCCGTACGGGACAGAAGACGGCTAAGAAAGTACTGAAGAGGAATGCTGGACTTGCTGCTGATAATCACTAGTGTCAACAACAACAGACACACATGTAAGCAGCGCCGCAGCTGGCCCCAATGCTGCCCCAAGACTCGGAGAAGAAAGGACCAGGATTACTCCTTTCCAAAACGTTATGTCTCATTGGAGTGAATGGAATTCAAGTACGTTTCTTTCTGAGGACTCAAACATACACTAGATTCTTACAAACACCAGACAAAAAAAAACTTAATTATCCCACCACTGTACTTTACAACCCATCAGCCGCCCCTCAGAAGGAAGGTGGGGCAATCTACTTCCATACTGGCACTGCCTCAGAAACCCAGAGGGATCACTATGAGTTGAAATCGACTCCATGGCAGTGTGTTGAGTACTTTAGAGAAACACGATGAGCGCGAGCTGCTGTTGAAATCCCTTCGAAGAAACGTGTAAGGTGGAGTGCATACTCAGTCGCTTTAATACTGTGGGATTGAATTATGCAGCTGAGGCAAATACACACATCTGGATATGGAGCTCAAGAGACCCCGTGGGAAGGCCAAGCCCACCAGCCGAAATTCTGATGCTAAGATGAAATGGGAAAGTGAGAGAATGGTGCAAATGCCAGCCTTGCAGAGAAGAGAACATGGATCAGACAATGTCCTCTAAACAGTGAGACCAAGAAAGGAAAAAATAAGACCTCAGACGGGAGTGAGGAAGTATACACAAAAGGAAATGGGAAAAAGTGAACAACAAACAGCTACACACAGGCCCGAGGCACAACGTGTGACAGCACCTCAAATGGGGGCCGCGGGGGCTCTGGCCGCTCACCTGCTTTGGCCAGCATGGATGCCAGCAGCTTGCACACGATGGAGCCCCTCTTCCTCATCTTGCTCTGCTTGCTGTACGGGAAGTAAGGGATGACCCCAGTAATGGTCCTGGCACAGGCCGTCTTCAGCGCATAAGCCATGATCAGCAACTCCATCACCGCCGTGTTCACGTCTCTGCAACAGAGAGACCCCAGGTCTCAGGACGCACCTCACTTACCAGGATGCAGACCGGCCTCAGCCGAGTCCACCCGGGACTGCCGAGGTAGGCGTCATGCTATCTATCGCCTATCATCAGGCTGCACTGGGACGGGTCCGTGAACGCAGGGAGCTCGGGAGCTCCCCCGTGCAGCCATGTGAACGTCAGTTCACCTCAACACTCGCAGCACAGCCAACTCGCCACCGCCCTTCCCAGCGTCCCACGCCCGCGTCTCCCACGTCCACCATGGCACACAGCCAACTTGCCACCACCTTTCCCAGCCTCCCACGCCTGCATCTCCCTCGGCCACCACGGCACAGCCAACTCACCACTGCCCTTCCCAACGTCCCATGCCCGCATCTCCTACGCCAACCACAGGGACACTAGGGTGGTACAAGAGGTGCATGTCACCAGCAGGGGACCACAGTTAGAGGAGAGGTAAGTGACCCCACTGGTACCAAGCAGGGCCTTTAGACTCAGGTCTAGAGTATGGAAGCACCTCTCCTACGAATGCCAGGAAACACCTGACCTACTTACCTGCCTTCACCAGAAATGACTTTTAGGGGGAGTGAAGAGCCCTGGTGGCACACTGGTTAAGCACTCAGCTGCTAACTGAAAAGTCAGATTCATTAACCACTCCATGGGAGAAAGATGTGGAGTCTGCTTCTGTAAAGCCTTAGAGACCCTGTGGGGCAGTTCCACTCTGTCCTCTGGGGGCGCTGTGGGTCAGAATGGACTCCAGGGCAGTGGGTGTGGTTTGGGCTTTGCTTCTTTGAAGACTGACAGCCTTGGAGACCCTGTGGGCAGTTCCACTCTGTCCTCTAGGGGCACTGTTGAGTCAGAATGGAGTCCACGGCAGTGGGTGTGGTTTGGGCTTTGCTTCTGTGAAGATTGACAGCCTTGGAGACCCTGTGGGCAGTTCTACTCTGTCCTCTAGGGGCGCTGTGGGTCAGAATGGACTCCACAGCAGTGGGTGTGGTTTGGGCTTTGCTTCTGTGAAGATTGACAGCCTTGGAGACCCCGTGGGGCAGTTCCACTCTGTCCCCGAGGGGTGCTGTGGGTCGGAATTGACTCAATAGCAGTGGGTTTAGTTTGATTTGGTTTTTGGTGATAAAAACGCTTCTCCCAGAATTGACTCAACAGTAATGGATTTAGGGTTTTTTTTTTTTTAATTTAGAGAGTGTGAGACAGAAATGAAAGAAAAAACCAAAATGGATGCCAGAAGATACTCTGAATCTTGCCCTTGAATGGAGAGTAGCTGAAGTGAATGAAGACATGATGAAGCAAAAGAGCCTGTGGTGCAGAATCCCTGGGCTGGGCTCTCCTAGCCGTGGTCTCTGTGACTTCCAGCAGATGACTGGGTGGGACCATACAAACGTAAGGTGCTTGTGACCCACCAAGGCGACTGGACAGCTTGCTGATAATGTAAATAACGTGCATGGCACCCTTTGGGGGGTGGGACCATGCAAATAAGGTGTATGGAACCTTAATGTGGGGACTGGTCAGTTGTGCCATTCTGCTAGGCTTAAAATGTGCCCTCCTACAGGCAGAAGGAGGCAATCTCACTGCCACCAAGAGAGAAGAACCAGAGGAGGAGTGAAGCACGGCCTTGGCCCGAGGTCCCCGTGCTGGACCTCCTCAGCAGAGACGACCAGCTGAGACGACAGCAGAGGAACCAAGAGGACGAGGCAGGGTGGAAGGCGCGCCGGCCCACAGAGCGAGAACGCTGAGTGCCTCTGGGCAGGAGTCTTGCTGTGT